AAATAGATTAGTGACTGTTGATGCTGGAACTATTCTGGCAAACTGGGTTGTGGGTTTTTTTTAAAGGATAATATATTTGAAAAACTTAAGATCAGTTAGATGTTGAATTCCTCTTAGTCAGCATTCATCTTTTCCAATCATCTTCTCAGAAAAGCACAAAGTACAGTAACAAGAGAAAGTTGAACTTATTTGAATCAGCTCAGGTTATAAATTTTTCAAACTTAAGACCATAAAATACTGCTTGATAAAGCAATCTGAGAGCTTCTGTAGGACAAACTATCAAATTTCCTCTGGGTTCTTTCATATTGCGGTCCCACCACTGTATCTGACTGGCACAGTGTGTTGGCTAAAGCAAGCCTTGATGACAGCCCTGTACCTAAGGGACAGCTGAGATATTTATTTAGGTACAACCTACATATCTAGAAGGAGAGTTCTAAATTCCTTCTGAACTCTGTGTCTAAACACTAAGGGAGTTTAGACACAGGCACAAAGGTAACTAGACACTGACTACAATCTAAAACCTTTAAAAACTCCCTCTGGAACTATGCATATCCATTTTGGATACAAAATCATCAATTTTCCCTGAAATGGTTGAAAAGCTGTACCATGATGTTTTTTCAGTTCTTCTAGGATTACCAAGGACATCCCAACTATGCAGTCCTAGCTGTGCTGCCAAACCCACTCAGCACTGAAGAACTAGTTCTTCTCATGTCCAGCTGTTCAGTCAGGCACATCTTTACCAAACTTTCAACTGGCCCACTAAATTAATTTAGGTTTCTGAAGTGCCTGACGTCCCAAAATTCTTGAAATCTAGAGTGGGTAAAAAAGCTGTTTTCAACTGCAGGACTGCTATAGGAAAAAAAAAAATCTTCTTTTAAACAGTGTGCTGGATTATCCTACAAGGAGAAGAAAATGGAAGTTTAGATTAAGAAATCATCTACAATAATGAGAAATGTCCTCAGATTTCATCTATGGGATGTCTTTTATTTCACTGAGTGAGTCTAGTTTATTAATTTTATTGACTGAAATAGATCAGGTCAGGAAACAGCAGCCTGCATGCTTACTTGTTTATACACACTTTCATGAACTAAAGTACATTCTGCTCTTCTGGGAAGAGGAAGGGTCTCTTTAGTCCCCAAAACCAAATTTCCAATATTGCAAAATAATGCTAGTAATATGAGGTTTTGTGACAGAAACACATAGAAACATTACAATCTGTAATTTCTTTAATACTTTGGCATAATCAACCCAAAATCAGAAGATGAATTCAGATTGGTGCTCTGGTTATCACTACTTCTAAGAGTTCTTTGTAAGGTCTTTCTGAAATTATAGACTATGTCTCTAAAGCTAGAAAGGACCACATAGGATATTTCATGTACTTCTCTGTAGCACAATATAATTTCACCCAGCTGTGTGTCCATTGTGAGCTGAGGCTTACCAACCCCTCTCAGTTTACAGACTTCAAGAAATGGTAAGCTCACTGCTCCTCTTCATCACTTGTTCCAGTGGCTGATAACCGCATTGTTAGCAAGTGAGGAGAAACACTGATCTAGCTGACAACCAAAAAATGTTTGGAAGAGCACTACCTGTTTAAACACTGATACTCACGATAATTAAGGTCCTTTTTGCCAGGTCTGTTCATTGTAAAAGCAATGAGGTCTTGAGGTTTGTTTTTTTTTGTTTTTTTTTAAGTAAATTTTTGCATTTGTTTCTCATTCATTAATATTTCTAGAAGCTTATAAAAATTGGAGGCAAATTCATGTTCTGTTTTCCATCTCCAAAGGCCACAATGCTTTCAAACAATGACTGGTACTTTCTTCTGTAGCTTTCTGTGATTTTCATGCAGCTTTTTTTCAGGATAGAATGGAAGCCGGCTTCTCACAATGAAATTATTCCCATACGGATTCATAGCTGAAAGTTCATGAGAGCTGCACATGCACAAAAAAGGAATAAGAAATGTGAATACTCTTTGGGATGCCACAGAACACATTTCCAGATAAAATAATAGTCTGCATTTTTGCAGATCTTTCCATCTTCAAAGTATTGGACATGCATCCATCATCAGATATTAAATATCCTCAGTGTTATTTTACTAAGGTTCAGCTTCTGAGCATCACGGTCAGATTCAGCTGCTGCAGTTCCAGGGTGACAGAAGCCATTGTGTGTGACTGGCAGAGCCTGCAGTGCACCCAACTTTGACACATACACTGCCAGCAGCATGCTTGAAAATCTCACTCCCTGGAAGAAGGGTAGGATATGGAAAGTGCATGTGGCACAAAGGCTGACTGCTACCATTTATTAAGACCAGGTGGTCATGATGGGTGGGCTACAGCCCCCTTATCTGCCCTCCCTCTGCAGATCTGTACTTTGAAGCTTTATGCTTACAAGTTCTGAGTCCTTTATTAGAAGCTGAGGCTCAGCAGCACAGAGGATTAGCCTTTATTGTCTCACTCATGGCCAGGCCTGTCTGAAGGTCCTTTTCTCCTGTAAGAAGTGGTTATAGACAGCAGAATTCCTGTGGAGGATAACTCCCAGAATACATCCGTACGTGGCAAGGAACCACGGCGCAGAGACTCCCGAGCCAACCTGACAGCTGAGGTAGTCCTGAGGCACTTGCAGAGGAGCTGCTGCTGAGGTCCCAGAGGAGACAGATCTGTTTATATGGCCCTGCCCCACATAGTCAGCCCTCAGTCTAGTTCAGAGTCACCTTGATACAGCTCTACCAGCTCAATGCCCATCTCACCATGACCACAGCAACCCATGGCCAGGAACTGCCCACTGCAGGGGATTGGTACAGCAATCAACACTTCAGAAATGAATACACAATAAAGACATAAAGAAAGCAATAACATACTTTAAAGTTTCGTGTTTAGCATCTGTTACACTGGTGAGATGGAAGCCTTAGTTTGACTGATTTGATCAAACTAAGCAATTCAAGTATCTTCTCCCTAATTTTAGGCAAAAGAAAATTGGAGCAATGCAGAAGCAGATGATAAATCAAAAGAAGAAAAATAGAAATTAAAGCTCAGTTCTGGCCTTTCATCTTTATTGCCCTTCTTTATGTGCATATGGTAGGTGTTCCATTCTTTCCAAGACCGTATGATATTCCCTTGCTTCAGGAGCTGTAGAGCTGTAGTTGTCTATAAAAAGGCAACCTAACAGTTTCCTGTGACTGAAAGTTGAATGTGTTATTTGTTACCAGCTGGTTCATAGATAGCTTGAGCCATGTTAGGCTTTAAGTGATCAAACTGACTTTAAACCATTCGCTTATGGGGTGCATTCATGCACAGAGAGAATTCTGTTGCAGTATTTTATTTCTGAATTATGCCATATGACTTTTTTTTTCCCTAAACCACTATTAAAACCAGAATCTGTAATATGCCCAACACAGACTGCATTTTTTGGAAAGCTGACACCAAACGTAACAGTAAATGAACCCTTCTGAAAGGTTAAAGTTGCTTTCATATAAAACATTTTCTACCAGGAAATGGAAGTGGAATGTTGAACTAAGCATTTAACTTGAAAGAACTGTGCACAGACTCCAATGGTTGCATTATATTTTAAAATAAAAAAAAGCAATGGGCTTTTATGAGCATACATATTTCTAGCTTCATAAAAAGGGTATTATGGTGACAAGGCAAAATGAATCCCAGTATTTTGGATGCTTCTTTTAACCTTCTAAAAGCTCCCTCCCCATCCATTAATATTCTAGGGTGAGATTTCACAATATGATAAAATTCATCTAACAGTTCTGCTCCCCTCATTTCCCTTGCATCTTTTCTTCCCTGACATGCAGGCTCATCCCTTCCCTTCCACTTCCCGATTTTCACATGGCTCCTTGATGAATGTAACTGGATTACTCAACCAACAGAAAGCCATCCTTGTTTTTATTTTCCTGAATTGGTTTCCCACCAGCTGGCCAGGTGAACCAGCTCCAGGGGTTATATAGAAATCAGAGCTGGTGCAGAAGCAATGGTTGAGAACAGCGCCCAAGATTTTCTTGGAAGACCTCAAACCCTTAAAGCCCCTATCCTACATGATGTGGTTGCCTCTTAAAAATACATTTCCTGTTGGAGATGGTGAACCTGTTGCAGTAGATTCTGCAAAAAAGTAATGGATGAAATGCAAGAAAGGCTTGCCCCTTACAGGGGCAACAAAGATTAATGGCAAACATGCACCATGCAGGCACCATCGCCCATTCTCAGGTGCAATGAGGGCAGTGACCTCATGGCACATCTTTATAGAAAGCAAACAAAATTGTCTGTTTCCTGGGTACAATCTTTCGCTTTGGAAGGAAATAAAAAAATGCCAACTTTATATAGTTTCCTTGAACCTTGAGTTTGATTCTGTGATCATTCAGGAAGGGAAGAAGCCATCCAAATGAGCTTGACACACTGAGCTGCTGCTGATTTGCCAGATTCCAATGTCCTCAAGTGTGACACAACGTTATTATTCAGTGTCCTGTATTTAAAATCAGAAGTGATTTAGTCTGGCTCGCTGCCATACCACTTGCTGACATGTTGACACCATGTAAATAATGCATAGCTCTGTGACCACACCACTTTCATGCCACATACTGGGAGAAACAGACAACGCCTGCTATTATTATTAGCCACATCTTAGATACCTTGGAAATTTGAAAAATTAACATCAAAATTACTTCAAATATTTGTAGTGTCCAGCTCCAAACTTCTTCATTACATCTCAAAAGGAACCTGTGTATCCACTGTGATTAGAAACAGAGATTGCTGATTTATATCTCACATCCTTTAAAGGTCTCCCTTCTAAGATTGTTTATAAATAACTGAGTTTGTTAACTGACACAAGAACAATGGCAAGACTTATATCTGCTGAGTAGAAAGGCCACCATTTTAGAAGAAACCTCAAAATATAACAAAACCCCAGTTCTAGACTGCAAAATGTGAAACAATTGGTATCAGACATAGCTAACAGTACACAGTGTACTTCTATTCTTCAATCATTTCAAAAGGTAAACCTACCACAGTGGAATCACAGCATGCTCATCAAACCAAAGTGAAATTGTGGTTTTCACTGGGGAACACTGTAAAGCAAAAAAAACATATTTAATATGCTACCTTCTTCTTGCATGAGAGTCTTTTATCATCTAAATATCATGCAGCCTCAGTTCTACTGGGAGCAGACAGCAATATAAGCTGCTTTTCACAGGACATTCAACAAGACTGGAAGTTAACATCTATATCACTGGTACCCAGCTACTGTTTCATATGCTATCCCCTTCAATCCTCTGACTACCTAACAGAGAAGGGGATGATTGTATTTTTATCTTTTTGCAATTTACAATAATGGAAAAGTTGCTCTTCTTCATTTCCCTGGGCCTACGTTGTCAGAGCAGGACTGTGATGTGCATTCTTCCTGTGAAGACACACAGGAGTAACTGTCAAGTCAGGAGAGATAAGAGAATACAGCAATGAAAAACAGAAATCTAGAAGTTGGGTGGTTGCAAGAAGAGAGGTTGGGATGGCTGTGTTATCGTGAAGAACTTACCTCAGTCTTCACTCTGTGGCCATCACTAGTGAAATGCACCTATAGAGATATGCATTTGCCTACTGACTTTAGAATTCCAAAACGTGAAATAAAAGAAGATCTGGATCAAAACCACTGAACTGTGCAACTGGATCATGATTTCTCAGGGCAAAACAGATGCACTCATCAAAATGCCTGCCCAAACAAATTCATTTAGAAATTTTGGAGGGAGCATAGCAAGCATAAAAAAGAAAGGGAGGGGTTCTTTTCTTTTTCTGCTCCTGTGAGACAGAGCACAGAGTAATTTGATGTCTTTCTGTTCAAGGATGAATACATTCGACAACATTCTGTACTTGTCCACATTGTTCAAAAGGATCAGCATTTTGAGAGTCCCAAACCAAGACCAATTCTTTCTGTTTTCTCCATTAAGAAGACCAGGAATCTTGTGGTCTCTTTTCAAAGGAATGACTTTGTCCAGAATCTTGCCTCAGAGATTTATTTTCACTATGTTATTTAGAACAGAAAAGAACACTGGAATGACTTCCTAATTTCTTTAGTAAATCTGTTCTTAATCTACTTTACTCCAAGCATTTTACAGAGACTTTCTTACATGATGTTCTACTCAGAATTTCTTTAATTACACACAGAGTGGTAAAACTTTCTCTTGACCAGAAAAGACTGGCAGTAATTGCAGTAAATTGAAAGGAAAAGGGAAAAGTTTGGGCAAAAGAGAAGGATGGATGAGAAGATAACTTGGTGCTTAAGGTGTGATTTCTGCTCTAACAGCTTCTCTGGGTAATGGAGCTGCCCCTCACAGGGTAGTAACAAACCCTGTCTTGTGGAAGTTTTCTACAGTTTTTGTTTTGCCTGAGGTTTGGATTTCACAAGGCTAACTAGATTGTCCTTGTCTAGGAAACCCCGGGGGTGAAGCCAGATTGTGTCTGAGTGCAAACTGCAAAGACTGAAAGTGGGGAAAGGGTAGTGGCTGAAAACCAGAGAATAAAAACCACTGAACTAGATGAGTGGGTAAAGTACAAGTTAACAAGAAGTTATGAAGTGGCATGACAAGGGTAATGAAGTGTGCTTTTCATAGGCAAAAATGTAAGTATTTTGAGGGGAATGTATTTGGGTCTTTTTTCTAAAGTCCACTCAAAGCTTCCTTCAGCACGGTATTCTCTCCCCTCTCAATGAATTCTTGTAATAATTCTGTCAGCTACAGAAAATTCCTCTAAATTCTTGTTGCTAGATATATACCTCTATATGCAAGAATAAATTATTCCAAACAAGTCCAGTACTAGACAAGTAGCAAGTAAAAATAGCACAACTTGCACATTCTTACCAAGAGCTAGCTCAGCAGTCAGTAGCACTGCCTGAACAGTCAACTATAAAAGCTCTTGTTTTGTGATAACCTAATTTGACTATTTCCTCTACCAAAATGTCCTATTTCATTGACTTCAAATGTTCAGGTCAGTCTCACATTTTGTACAGCTGAAAGTGCGTGCATACTGAAAGAGCAGATTCTAGCAGCAATGGGTCTCTTTGGAGGAAATGGTGCACTCTTCTTGTCATTGTGGTTTCCCAATGGTGAAGGGGGAAGGAGCACAGCAAACAGAGACTCTGACACATTTAAAGGCAAGTTTTCTGATGGTGAACACTTCTAGAGTTTTATCTGGTGTCCATATTTACAAACTCAAGCACATGTGGTTTCACAGAAACATTCAAAAGGGAAGAGAGAGGAGATGATCAGCACATGCCTGAGCTGCTGCCTATGTTGGTTGAGAAGGATGTGCTGGGTGCCAGCCCAGGCTGGGCAGGGCAGCACTGAGAGCTGTGGGACACAGCTGGGGATGCCAGCACAGCTGTGGCAGGAAGCTGGGTGGAAGGGCAGAAAATGCACACATGTCAGAGCCCAGGACAATTAATTCCCTTGCTTCTAAGTTGTGTCATTTGTTAAGAAGTTTCAAATGACACCCAAAAATAGCACTCTTTTAATACACATTAATGATTACTATCCTATCCATACAGCATTTTGAAAATTTTCTTTGATAACCAGTGCTAGATTTTCTTAATTTTCTACTGCCAACATTTTAGGTCACTTGTAAAAAACATGCACAATTCCACACAGGTGTAATCTCTGCTTGATTGTTTACAGTTCCAGTGTTATACCCTTACTTATCTGTTCTCTTTGGCTAATGTGGCTTGATGATTTCACTCTGTGATTTCCCTTTTCAATCATATACATCAGATAGCAGATATTCAAACTTCCCTTCCCTACAACATGTGACATTTTCATAATGCAGTGATAACATGGCAGACTTGCTTTTGATCAACTCTACAGCATATCTTAGAAATTAGCACTAATTTTTACAGTATAAATTAGGGAATGCAAGGTATTTATGGCTTGAAAATATTGAATTCTGTGTTACATCTGTAGAAACTCAGTACACAGTCTGAAGCTTCATTTGTTATTTAAATCTAATTCCATTTCTGAAACAGGCTCTTTAAAACTGTATCTGCTTCATCTCTGTGCCAGGCTGGTCTCTCTGATATGACTGATGCTTTGGGAGACATTGCCCTGAAAGGAGACTGTGCTTGCAGCAGAGCACTTGAAAGCCAGCGTGCTGCCATCCATCTTCTCCTTTACTGCATGTGCTGGGATAAACAATGGGACAATCAGACACTTACTGAGGCTGCATGGAAAAGTGGTGAATCAGACTTTCATGGAAAACTTGGTGAGGGTGCTAGGTTACAATTCTGAAGGCGATGAGTGTTCCAGATAAATGTATACTTAGCTTTCTGTAAAGAGCTTAGGTGTCTTAACTGTGCTTACTTAGCTCAAGGTGGCTGCTTTCAAACTCCTCAGAACTGCAAGAGGCAACTGCTTGAATGTCAAGACATGCTTAAAAATCTGAACCCCAGCTTTTGATGAGCAGTAGTCTCAGTTTGCCAGCTCAGTTTAGTCTTGAACTGTCCGCAGTATGAGTGTTGCCTGCCTACCCACTACAAGTAGGTCGTTACCACCCAGCTGAACAGCAACTGAGTAATGAATGGGAAATATCCCTCTTGGCCTGTATTGGAAGTTTTGACAGAGAGGTAAAAGCTAACCATGCCTTTATAACCTTATTATCCTAACCCTCCAGTCTTACCAGTCTTCACACCTCTAATTAAGCCTGCAGAAAATAAATACCTTACTGACAGTTTTTCCTCAGGCTTGGTATGAGTAATCTGACCACATCTGGAAAATTGCTGTGAAAAAAGATGTTGTGAAACAATTTTTCATTCTAAGACATTTTTTTTATTATTCTAAAGATATCAATTTTTTAAATTAAAAAAAATAAAAACATTCTAAGCTAGAGTCTGTGTGTCTGAAACTAGAGCAAGACCAACACACTTCAGCTACAATAAAGTAAATTTTATCAGTGAAAGATCTAGCAAGCCAAAGTGCTTTCCTTTTCCATTCCAACTAAATCATACATTATTTGGGGTAGAAATTTGGCAGGAAACTCTCTTGTATTATCCCTACATTGTGGCTGGACTGATTTCCTTATCCCTTTTTGATAGATGGATGTCTAGCTGAGCCCTGAATATCTTTAGCAGTGCTGATTCCAAAGGTTCATTTGTCAGCTGGTTTCCTTGGCTATGAGTTCTTATGTTTATAAACTTTCCCCTGATATATAATTCTATTTTTTTTCTCACAATGCTTCGAACCACTTCTTGCTTGCTTGCTTCACTGAGAATAATCAAATATCATCTCATTTTCATTGTTTCTCTATTTCAGACAATAAGAGGTTACTTTAAACTTCCTGGAATTAACATGATTGAATTAATCTCAACAGCATACCATGGGCATTATTTTGCAAGCCTACCATCAATTTTCTTACATAGCTCAAGATTTAAACAACTTTTTAAAACAAGTATCTAAAACCAGTTACAGTACTTCAGCATATAACCATAAAAGACCATAAACAAGACTAAAGTTCTCCTTTCTCATTATGTACATTCTCATGGATTATGTTTTATAAATTGTTGTAGTAGCAGATTATGTGAACATTTCATCCTTCTAGAAAATGTAAGGGTTTGTAGAGCTGAAAAATATCAGTGCTGCAAAAGAGAATGACACTGATTGTTGAGACAACAGTGTGAGAGACTGACTCTAGAGAGCAAAGAAATTGCAGAGTACCTCAGAATCAGTAATGTCACTGAGCTGGGAGGCTGGTGTCTTTGTAACCACTCCAAGACACTGAAGTAAAGACAAGGAAGGTTTGTTTCAAAGGGAATAAAGACAACTTGGAGAAAAGGACAGTAGGCTGTGAATTGCAATTTTTGAAAAGGAAGTACTTTTAGGAGCTTATGGGGGGTCTAAAACTGGCTAAAATGCTGTAGGTTTCTACACTGGATACCTACAGCAGACTGTTAGCCATGCAGCACCAAGCTGTGCCCTTCAGTTCATGGCTGAGGACCCAAGATAAAGGAGGCTGAACTGCAACCTGAATGCAGAAAATGGTAAGTCCACCTTTCCTCCAAACAATTCTTACCCACTAACAGGTTCTTCCTTGGTATGTGCAGAGTTCTGTACATTCCCTCCCAAGATACCCAGTCATGGTCCCTGGCACATCTTTTCTATATTAATTCTGCTGGGTGCATTAGAACACAGAAATTCTCTGGTAGACTTAGCCCTGGGTTGGATTTTCACAAAATGCTAATAACATCAAAAGTATTGAGCACCTGATATCTTCTGCAATTTCCTCTAAACACATGTTTATCCTGTCTTTGAACAACTGACTGCAAGGGACTGGTCATTGCAGCTTCATGGCTCAGAAAACAGAATGCATGAACACACAGAAAACTGGATCAGGATAGTATGACTCTGGGAGTCTTTTCTATCAACAGGATGAGCACTTGGGTCAGACTGTGTTTGCTCAAGCTTCCAGACACATCACATTCCCATCAAACATGCTCAGATGACTTGTGGGAGCTGTACCAGAATGTGACCCATGCAGTCATTAGTCTAATTTGCCAAGGCATTCTCAGACTACTAACCTGGCATGCATCTTTCTAGTTACCATGCAATTGTTTACATTTTGTCAGTAGTTCACAGTACCAAATGTGCCAAGAGCATTCAAATGTTTCTGAGCATTTCTCTAGTTCAGTTCCACCCATGAAAAGTTACTCAGCCAATTCCAATTTTAAAAGAGCCGCTTAATCTGGCCATTCACCCCTTGTAGTGACAATTAAATGAGTGGTTTTACAGAAGGAGTGTTATGACCACTGAATCTAAAACTCACAATTGCTTCAGAGCTGACTTTCTCCAGGTAGCTTTTAGCCACTGTGCCATTTCCTCTGAGCTGTGAACCATTTAACCCCTGCACATGCATTGGGAACAGGGTGTTCAAGGAACACTTAGTTCTTCTTTTCGCTGTAGAACTGTCACTTTTAAGATGTGAGAAATGTGGTTGTTTTCTTAAATAAAGGAAGTGTGAGTAATTCTGTGAAGCCACGAAGACCAAGCTCTGCATACACATTTGTTCCAACACCTCACATCATTTTAGGTTTTGAAGTTCTGATGTCCAAAATAACATTACTTAAATTACAGTGTTTTTATGCTATCGAGTCCATCTAGGAGAATTGTTTTCCTGAGGGTGCGGATAAAATTTCCCAAATCAGAAGAATACTTGCAAGTTTTCTTATTGTGCCTCCATCTGTCTACTTGATAATTTGCTGCTAAGCATTACTACTATACACAAACCCCTGGCTATATTGCTCCTATACTGAAGAGCCACTAAACACCAGCTGACTTTGAGAAAAGTTTGGACTTGCTGGGATATCTAGTTTTGCATTTAGATTTGTCTCTCCCACTGGATCATAACTGGAGGATGCTGTAGGATGCCACATACCTAAATGTGTACCTGGAACAGGTGACTGCAGGGTTTGATAGAGGCAGACAAGCCGGCTCTCTGATGGAACTGTCCTCTCAGGTAGAGCTGCACTGATGTGCAGTCTAGAGAAAAGCACTTTGAAGTCACTCCTGCATGAAATATTTGCATGGCCATTAGGACAGCAGGAAACCTCATGCTCCTGGGCTGCTCCTGTTATCACTCATGTCCTATCTGCCCCAGGAGGTTGAAGCACAGGCCATAGAAAGCTCAATGAGAAGCTGAGCACAGTGACCTTGAGGAAGCAATTAAGGACAATCTCTATATGGCCAAACCTCTGGCCACACAAACTACCCACCTGAGCCTTGCAAAGCAGCAAGCCACCCCACTACACACCTGAGAGAGCCAACAGGTGTATGGGACCCCAGGATCAATCAGCAGAGAAGATAATCAGCTCACCACTGGTACACAGACCCACGTAGATGCTGAAGCTGTCAGGCCCTGGCAGGGACAATCTGGCAATATCAGTTTCAAAAGCACCCATGGTGCTAACACACCCTGCTGCTCCTCACCTCCTGACCAGAACACCTTGCTGGAAGCCTTAAGTGCTCTCAGGGTGGGATAACTAACCTCCAAGTCCTACTGAATCATCTAGAGCCTACAGACTGACACATACTTCCATATCACATCTAAGGGTGGTGATGATTTTGAGGCCAGAATCCCTTATTTTAAAAAGGGAATAATATCTGAAAGCATTCTTTTTTGAGGTTCAGAAACTCTAGATCTTGTCACCTTTAGACAAACCCAGTTAAATATGGTGACATTTCAGGTATGAGCAGCTTTCTTACATATGATTTGAGGATGACAGAACTTATGTTCTTAAGTGGGTTCTTAAGTCTTTTCCTCTTAAGAAAGGAGAAAAATCAGGCCGATTAATTAATTTCCTGAATGCTTCTCAGTGCAGCCCAGGAGAATCAAGTTCTAATTCGAATGAGGTGTCAGGGAGACTAAAAGCCTTGTGAATACAAATACCCTCATAAAGACACTAATGTAAATGAAATTTGTTCTAAACCAAGCCTGGCCACTTAAGTCTGTGGTAAAACTTTCACTGACAAATATGGAAGCAGGCTGAGACCTCACAGAAGCTTCTTTTGAAGAACTCCTAAACTTTCACCTTACCTCTTTAAAGCATTTTTGCAGGCACATGAACCTCAAAGGTTTTATGTAGCTGGTAAGCTAAAACATATGAGCAAGAAATAACTTGTTCTAAGCCACAGAAGAAATCTTTATCCAACCTAAAAATTAGAGTCAATAGTGATATCCTGTTCTTCTCATTGAGCTTTCAAGACCACAGGGCAGAAACAATGCTGTCCATGAGCTAAAGCTGTTTCCCTTCTTTATAAAGAAATGTGGCCACGATGACATTTGTAGCTCTACAGTTTTCCTTATTACAAAAAAGAAGATAATACTCATTTTAAAGCATTCATTCCAGTTTAGTTAGGCTGAGATTTAAGTGTTTAATGCACTTCAAGTAGAGGCCATAGGAACTGTAAAATGCCTAGCATAAACATGCTAATCTAATACTTTCAACTATAATGTTGAAATACTTACCAAAAACAATCTATAGACATGGCAGAAGCACAGGGAAAACACTTCAGGTTTCCTTACTATGTTTTTCTACAGAAATCAGAAAGATGAATTATTCTCCTTGAAATGCTTAATTGGTTCTTTGAAAATAAAACAAAGCATGTATAACTACACTAGTGATTTTCAGCATGTGACCTCAGATAAATGTCAGCTCTTTGGGAAAACTATGAAATTGTGTATAAAATCATAGTTTAAAAAAAAAAAAAAAAAAAGAAAATAAAGAAAAAAGAACCAATAAAGAAAAACAAGCCAAAAAAGCAGAACAGCAGAAATTAGACAGTGAAAAAATGGCACTGAGGCAGATTTCAGGAAATATTTTTTCTTTTCCAGTGTTTCATTCCAAGATATTTTTAAATCAAGATATTGAAAACAGATTCCCATACAATTCTTAATAAGTTACAGTAGCCACCAGAGTTAGTGGTTCCTAACATGTGGCAAAAAATATAATACTTCTAACTCAAGCCATGTCATGCTGATATTTTAGCAGCATTCCTCATGCTATTGTTACAATTCCAGTAGTTTCATGGCATTTAATTCTTTCTGAATATAAGAACAGATTATCTACTTTTCTGATATTAACATCATAATAACCATGGTACGTTTCATCCCACTGTCTCCAGATACTTTGATCCTTACCTCTGATTTTGGAGATGGAGAAGTTTCAAGTCAGAATAATGAGGTGGCTCCCTGGAATCACCCAACAGTAAGGTCACTGCAGGGCCTAGAATGGAAAAAACAAAAGCAGAACTTCACAAACTTTATAAATCCTACCTGGTCTAACACAGAGAAGATTTATAATTCTCATCACGTTGCTGTGATTGGCCCCACAGTGATGGTGCCTGTTGGAACCCAGGACATTCCTCTCACTGCCCTGGAGGACTCAAGACCCTGGCAGGAGGCTCAGAGACCTGGGCATGGAGTCAAAGACACTGTGACTTCGATTTTAACCCATGGAAACAATTACCAACTTTGTGCGAGGAGTTACAAGCCACAAGGGTTTGAATAGAATGATAGCGAATTTATCACAGGGTGAAAAAGTAGAATTTTGGGGTTTTTAGAATGGGGGTTCAAGAGGCAAGATGGAGGAATCTGGGCGTGACCTTTTCCTCCTTCTTCTGGTCCTCCATCTTCTACTGTGATGGTGGCACATTTGGACTGGTTTAGGATAGAGACAGACTGTCTAACATAGGTGATAGGTATTGGAAAATTATTGTAAATAAAGTAAATGTAGTTTTTAGTATAAAAAGATAACATTACCCTGAGGGTGGGTCATTGTGCCTCAATACGACCTGCTGGACAGACCTCAGTGGGTCAGAAAGACAATGTATTAGATAAGAACAAATAAACAGCCTTGAGAACCAGAGCCAAGGAATCCTGTCTTCTTCTCTGGTCTCGGGGCTGGGAAAAAGAGACTTTCTGTCCTCGGGGTCCTCTACACACCAGAGACCCCATCAGCTGCCCACAGCATCTCCAGGGTAGCATTACCTCCTCACCCTGGCAGACATAGTGAGGGCACAGCTGTGCAATCCCCTGGGGGCTGACAGCCTCATGGGGGTCCTGAACAGGGGCAAGTGTCCCCACAGAGGCCAGGGAGAGGATGCTCCCCAGGAAAGCTGATGCTGTGCTCCTCCCACCTGAGGCTCTGCCTTTGGAGAGGAAGGGGCACAGCAGAGCTCAATCAGACACTGTGGGCACCCCCACACCAGGGCCATGACCCACCACATCTGATTTGTGGCACATGCTGATCCTTACCCCCGGGATGGGCATGCTAGCAATCCGCATGTATTGGGACAGCATTTTAAGTCTTGTAAAAAAGGTATATAATGTATTACTCCTCTGTGATGCATTCATCATTATTTAATGACACTCACTCTTTATACTAAACACATTGAAATATACCATATTAACAAAACCTACTTGATTTCATAAGCAACTTATATCCAATATTTAATATTTTGAAACTCATTAAAGATGAGTTTTAAATGAATGAACTAGAACATTGAGACAAAAGCCTTTAAAAGAGACTTGAACTATTCATTGAATGGCAACAGAAAGAGATTCTAAAAGAGATCTTGAAAAGCTTGCTATAAAGCTAAATCAATGGTTTTATCAGGAATCATCCCTAGTTAAGTATTACCAAACAAAGCAGAGTAACATACAAAAGTTCAAAACCAGAAGTCCTGTCATTAACACAAGGACTACATTTCAGAAGCTACCACAAAGTCCTTTTGAGGCGCTGTTTACAAAACTGGATGGATTTTCTGTTCAAAGTGGCAAATCAAATCTTGCACTTCCCCAAAAATTCAGTTTGGGGATGACCAAGCACGATTATAAAACTCAATGGGAAAGATGGGGATAGGTGAAAGACATGAAATCTGGAAAAGATGGATAATAATATTTCAATATCAACATGCTATTTTTACACACACAAAAAGTCCCAAGTTGATTTTTTTAGTTGAATTTCAACCTGAATTTGTTTCTTTGGCTTTTTTCAACAGTATCACTTTTCCTTACATTCCATAAGGTACAAGAAATGAAAAAACAAGCTACACATGACCCACAGTAGGGAAAGGCTCATTCCAGGACACACAGGGTTGGTTATCTGTCTCCTGCATAAAATGCAATCCAAGAGTGGCTAGCAAATATTGCTGACTTAGCTGATGCAAATGTTGCAGGCAAGTTAGAAATTTTGGAAATACTTTCTTACTTTAAAACAGTTATTAATGCACTTCAGATGAAAGTTTCATTTTTCTTATGCAAGACAGGCTTTCCTGAAGAGTGTTAAATGTACCTGGAATGAAAGTTGTCAGTTTTATTTATATGAAAGATATTTTTTAATTGAAGTGTTAGCTTTAAAATTCAATGTTTTATTAAGATGATCTGATATTTGCCAAACTTCACCACCAAAGCGACAAATACAATAACTTGACATTTCTTTTTCATGTATTACCAAGAAAATTTACAGAAATTAAACTAAGATTAAACTGAGGGTGCCTGCTGCTCTGCCAAAAACACTGAAGTTCAAGCCCAGTGTTTTTTTTCTTGCAAGGGTGTCAGCAGTATATTTAGCAAAAAGGTAGAAATAGAGGAGGTTGGACTAAAAGACTCATATTACATATTGCAGGTCTTATATTCCCACTTTTGTGCCATTCCTGGATTTATGGTCTAGACATTCATGGTTTCTTTTGAAGCGTTTTGACAGAAAATTTCTTGTCTACCTAAAATTCAAAACCAGCTTTAGTAAGATACAATAGCTGCGCAGACAAAGCCTTTCCCAGAAAATTATGATATTTTTCCAAAAGAAAGTGGTGGGTTATTTTTTGGGGTTTTTTTTTGGTTACTTTTTTTAAGTCATGAAAAGCAGATGAAGCAGCAAATGACAGAGGAATTAATTGTATAAACAATAAATGTGAACATCTCTGCTGCATATAGTCAGCCTATTTGAAATAGAAGGTTTCTCTGTATGAGATAGGGTGAGGCCTCAGACACACACAGGGTTATATTCAGTGGTGCTGTTGAGATACGAAAAGATGAGATATTGCTGCTGACCACAGAGAGCAAATTACAATTAAGAACACATCTTTCTGGGAAGTTTGCCAAGGAAAAACCAGGGAGAGGTGGCCATTACTGCTGCTTTGCTTAAGCCAAGGAAAAATGGAGATGTAGTTGCTCTAACTCTTACCAAATGAACAATTGCACTCAGAGTACAAAGCAAATCAGTGCTAATGAGACAAATCAGGAAACCCGCTCTGAGAACGAGTTCAAAGCACAAAAGTAGAAATGCTTCAGCTCTCTCTGTGTTATCAGCTTAGCACTGGGGCAAAAGCATCACTGCTGGCTGCTGCTGTGGCATGGTGTTTCTGCATAAAGCCAGCTGCACAGACTTAAAGACAGAAAAGCATAAACAAACAGCACAGATATGGCATTACAGTAGAAGAAATGAGGGAGATTGAAAAAACAAAAACTAATTTTGAGCAGCATTTTTACTTTTGATAACAGAGATACCAAGAAGAGCTGAAACTATGGAGATAGTGATACCAGCAGAACACAATCAAGAATATTCATATAGAGCTGAATCTCCTCAGCAGGCAAAGGAGAAGGACGAGTAACAATTCTGGGCACAGTGACCATAATGTGTAAAGGATGAAAAGCATCCCAACCTACCACTCCCCTTAATGAACTTCAGATTTATTCTGCTAGGGGATCCAAACTGACAGAGAGAACATTGCTAATGACATCCTACATTATTACAGCACTTGTTTGTTTCCTTACAGATAAACTGTCTGATTCAGCAAGAAACAGACTATTCTCACTTTTCAGTCAAGGTATCTTTAGAAATTTTCTACAGATCTTTGCTGGTAATATGTGGTACTAATACTGCTATACTTAAGATTTAGAGGAGTGACTGTGTCCTGAAGCCTGAGCATGGTCTGCAGCATTAACACATTCCTGCCATATTCTAATTGTGATGGCATCCAAGCAGAGGGGGACACTTAGCACCAATCTCTCATGTACCATGGGAGCAGCTTACCTCCTCAAATACATCCCTGACTGGGTAGTTTTGTTCTGAGCCCAATGTTAGCTCCAGTTCTCCTGTCTATCATCCCTGTTGTTACAAGATCTCTTTTCTATAATTTCTCATTTTCAATGGGAAAAATCATTAAACAACAAAAATTAGACTATGCTCTACAAGATTCTTGAGTATCTCTTTATGTCTAGATCAAACAGCCTTTACTTTTTTTTCTTTTTTTTTTTTTTTAATATGTGAGAAAAATTTCTTTTGGTGTGAAAAGGAAGTACTGGGAGTTTTCCCTTGCATGATTTCCTGAAATCGTCAGTAAGAAAAGATCATTTCTATTACTGTCTCTCACCATCTCTCACAAGACTGGACATCCAAGCTGTACCCAACTATGACTAATCCAAAAAAATTTCACAGGGAACAAAAATAAGTCCAGTTTGAAGCCCCAATTTCTATATAAGTTCTGCTTTGTCATTTTTGCCATGATAAATTGGACTTATGGGTTTCTCTTGAGAGATTTCCTTTCCCAGTGTCACCAAAACAGAGAGCCAGCACTTCACAGAAGTCTCTGGTGCAAAGTAAGGTCATAGGCATGCAACAGAAGCCAAACTCATTCATTAGCCAAAGGTCTACTTTTAACACAAATACTGTTTCATAATGAATAAAAGTTTGGGACCCAAAATTAACTTAACAGCATAAACCAATATTTCCATGTGGTTTCTATAAACTCTTAATCCAGGATCAACATTCAAGGGCTTAATTGCACTAAAGGCAACATCACCAACCTGTCACTCTGGATGACCTGTCTTAACACTGAGTGTCAAATCACCTTCAAAAATAATACCACAGTGAAAAAATAATCAGTCTTGACCTCAGTGCACATTTGCCTGTATAATGTTATCACATAGTTCAGAAATTTGAAACATGTCATAAAAAAAGAAGGTGTTAAAATCATTTGGAAGTACAAGAGGAAGAAAGCATTTCACTGCTCTTTGATAGTAACCTTCTCCAGGAGTCCTTTTCCAGTCTGACATGCACAAGGCTGTAGGACTGAAGCAGAAACTGATTAAAATATGCATAGGCACATGCATGTGTCCATGTTTATACACCTGCACACACATTTCTAAGCATGTGCGTAGGAAAGAATGGACGTAGGGAAGATTTTAAGAAAGCTTTACTGCAGGGCAAGCTTAAGGAAGCCA